CAGAAGAATTTTAAACAAGTTCAAACACTGCTGAGTAACCACCAGTAGAGAAAACAATGGAATAACAGGAAATCTAGATAATTTGTCCTCCTACACTGGCATCAATTTTTTTCTGCAGAATTATCTACAGAAGATGGAAGTTTCACACCTTCCCACATGCCTTAGACAAGCAGCTCAGGTGCCTGTAAGGAAGGGTTTTCCATTGCCATCCTAAATGTCTCTGTGTTGCCCTGTTTATAATGGGCAGTGGAAATGCTTCCTCTTTGCTCTGCCGTTTTTTCACACAGGAAATCTGTCCTATCTTCCCTCAATCATGCTGCCCCAGGAAATGTACATTCAAATACAAATAATAAAGAAAACTCCAAGAGCAAAGCTTGCCTATTGATAGGGTACTGCTGATGTCAGTGAAAATAAGCAGGGAAATAAGAAAGCAAAGGTAAAATCCCTCTGTGATTCTGGGAAGAGAAGCACTGGGTTTGAGAAAAGGATATAACAAAATATATACAAGTTTAGTGTTGAGTTTTGTTACTTTCATGGTTTGTTTTGTTCTGTTGTTGTTGTTTTGTTTTGTTTTAACAAAACTGAAAGAGTAAAGGAAACTGATAAATCTGGTATTGTGATATTCCTGGAGCTTGGGTGAATGTGAAGGCAGTGATAGAGAGTGCTGGGCTCTTAGGGGATGGTTAGATGAAGATGGTTAGGCCACTGTGGTTAGAAATGTGATGTGTATTGCTTACATTCATTTTGAGTTGGTTTTACTTTATAGAGGAACTTGATTGATACCTCTGCTGCAAGAAGAGAGAGACTAGAGGCCTGAGCCTCTTTTCATTTAATTAGACCTCGTACAAATGCATGCTCTGTTACTTAGCTGCATTTGGAATTGCATAATTGACACCATCCTCAGCTGAGAGTTGTTTTTTCATTGGTCCCTATGATTCAGGTTTGAGGAAATGGGCTCCTCAGCATCCCACCAGGGAGAGAGGCACAGAGGAGGAATGCCTGGCTGCAGAACGAGGAGCAGTCATGGTTCAGGGACAGTGGTGGCACAGGTTCACACAGGGGGGTGTGCAGAAAGCAGAGGGCAGAGATGCAGCTGCACTGGGACCAGGACATTTGACTTGTTAGAAAGACTCACCAGAATGTCTCCAAATCAGTGAGAGTCAGTGTCTGTGTGAGCTTTCACCTGCCTGGAGAGGGCACAGAGGGGCTGCTGTGGATCACACCTGAGCCCCTCTTCTCTTGGGAGTGCAGGTTTCCAGCCTCTGCAGCACTTCTGGGCTCAGACACTGTTCAGCCTCTGCTGTAGAAAACTGGTTGTTCCTTTAGTGCTGGTTCCTCTTTACCTGCAACAGCATGAAACACTAGATGTAAGACTTGCCCAACACCATGTGAGCCCCTCTTCTCTTGGGAGTGCAGGTTTCCAGCCTCTGCAGCACTTCTGGGCTCAGACACTGTTCAGCCTCTGCTGTAGAAAACTGGTTGTTCCTTTAGTGCTGGTTCCTCTTTACCTGCAACAGCATGAAACACTAGATGTAAGACTTGCCCAACACCATGTGTTTTGTGGAGCAGTTACACAATCACCTCAGATATGTTGAAGGAGCACTTTTCATCAATTAAATTGATTTTATAATTTTCAGGCCTAGTTCCATCATAATATTTGGAAGACAGTATGCAAGCAGTCATGAAATGTTTGAAGAAAATCTCTTTTAGAGATTCAGTTTCAGTAAGAGAATTAGTTTCAGTTCTTTGGGAATTGGGTAGTAGGAACCGTGATGAAAAAGAGTACTTAAAAAACTGACATTCAAAATGGCTAGGTCTTATCTTCAAAATTACAAATAGGTACAGGTGACTCTGCATTGCTAATGAGATACATGTCAGTCATGGGGAGGTGTGCACATCTCTATTTTTGAGCAGCACAGCACAAAAGGAAGGTCTTCCCTGAGCTTTGAACTGACAGCTCAATGAAATGCAAAGCCTGGTCCTGGATATGAGTGTAGGTAACTGGGAGCACAGACCTCTGCAGTAGTTCTTGAGCTGTCAGCATTTCATTATGTGACCCAGCAAAGCACCTGTATGTATAGATGTGCATTTGCTGCACTGCAAAGCAGCTGGCTGCTGGCTGTTGTTAAGCAAGAAGCATATTTCAGCAAAGATCAGAACTATCCAGTGCAAGGAAAGCTTATAAATTATGTCGTGTGTGCATGACAAAAACACATCTTCCCAGGATTGTAGCTTTGCCAGTGCTTAGGATCTATATCTTTAAACAGAAGAAGGGGGAAAAAAGGTACATAATTGGGTGCTCAGTACACCAGGGTATACACTAGATTTATACATGGTTTTAAAATTAGCTTGCATCCATCAGGGGTGAGATTCAGCTCTGGACTGACACCTGCACTTTGGTGTCTGTGTGTAGTGTGCTGTGAGCCAAGGTGAGTTGGACCTAATGCTAGGGGAGCCTGGGGAATAATTCCTTTTACTTCAATGCAGAATCCTCCTGGCTGAATGTGCAACGCCATAAAGCATCTATATGCTTGTGTCATTTCCTAAATCAAATAATGCTCTGTGAGGAAATAAAAGTTAAACAATTGAATTGAATTGTGTGATGTCAACATTAAATGTTCTCATGAAGTAGAAGTAGCTGATAAATAAGAAGTTCAACTTTCCTGAAAATTTTCATACGACTAGTAAGATGGCCACTTTATTTATTACACATTATCCTCTTACCTGTTTGTTAGATATATTGGATCACCCTTATATTTTCATTACATGTTAAACTTTTTTGGAAAGCAGTAAAAAGGAGGATGATTTTGTGCATCAGAGTGAAATTTGTAATAATCCATTCATTGAGAAAAACAATTACTGATACATTATATGACTATACATCAAAAGCCTGACACTGGGTTTTTTCCTCAGTTACAGCTTTTAAATTAATTTTAAAACATTGCAATGATTCTCAAAGAACACAAAGTTCTTGTCCAAACAAAATACGAATCAAACTCATGTATGCATATTTTACTGCCAAATTTAAACATTTATATTTTCTCTTAATGTTTCCCTTAAATATGTTTTGTCTGTAAAGAAGCTGAAATATGCAATTTTTCAAAGATCAATAATTGATATGATATATGGTTCTTAATTAATCCTTTATTGCTTTCAGGGGGATGAATTGAATGAATGATGAAGTTTAATTAATTTTTCATATTTACTTGTCTTTATTTTTCAAAAGTATCTTAATCTTCTTTTCACTTAGAGAAGGTTTTTTAAAAAATTAGCTAATGAGAGGAAAAGGCAATTTATCCTAATTTTGCTTTATCAGTGGCTTTTTGGCATAAAACAAAAAATGAAAGGAGGACCAAGGGGAATCATCCTTTATTGGAAATAGTAAGAAACAAAGAGAAAGGATAAGGAAAAGTCTGAGGTACTTAATGCCTTCTTTGCCTCAGTCTTTAATAGCAAGACCAGTTGTTCTCTGGGTGCCAGTCCCCTAACCTGTAACACAAGGATAGGGAGTAGAATGAAAGCCCCATAGTCCAAGGGGAATATCCAACACCTGCTGCACAAGTTAGACACACACAGGTCCATGGGGACTCCAGCCAGGGGTACTGAGAGAGCTGGGGAAGTGCTCACCGAGCCCCTTTCACCATCTCTTGGAATCCTGGCTAACTGGGCAGGTCCCAGCTGACTGGAGGTTGGCAAATGTGATTCCCATCTAGAAGACGGGCTGGAGGGAGCATCCAGGAAACTTCGACTGACCTCATCTTCTATGAAAACGTGACCCACTTAGATGTTGTCTATCTAGAATTTAGAAAAGCCTTTGACTTAATTTCCCAGAGCATTCTCCTGGAGAACCTGGCTGCTGATGGTTTGGACAGGGACACTGTTGCTGGGTTAAAACTGGCCCAGAGGATGGTGATGAATAGTGCTACATTCAGCTGGTGGCTGGTCACTGGTGGTGTTTCCCAGGACTCAGTACTGGGGCCAGTCCTCTTTAATATCTTTATCAATGATCTGGATGAGGGCACTGAGTGCACCCTCAGTCAGTTTGCTGGTGACACCAGGCTGGGTGGCAGTGTTGACCAGCTGGAGGGCAGGAAGGCTCTGCAGAGGGATTTGGACAGGCTGGATTGATGGTCCAAGGCCAGTTGTGTGAGGTTCAATGAGGCCTAGTGTCAGGTTCTGTCCTTCAGTCACAACAGCTCCATGCAGAGCTACAGGCTGGATGCAGAGTGGAAAAGGACCTGGGGCTGCTGGTTGACGCCCAGGTGCCCAGGAAGGGCAGTGCCATCCTGGCCTGTTCCAGCAATAGTGTGGCCAGCAGGAGCAGGGCAGGGATTGTCCCCCTGCGCTCAGCACTGCTGGGGCCACACCTCCAGTGCTGGGTCCAGCTCTGGGCCCCTCACTGTGAGAAAGACACTGAGGGGCTGGAGTGAGTCCAGGGAAGGGCAGTGGGGCTGGGGCAGGGTCTAGAGCACAAGGGCTGTGAGGAGCAGTTGAGGGAGCTGGGGGTGTTTGGCCTGGAGAGGAGGAGGCTCAGGGGAGACCTCATTGCTGCCTACAGCTGCCTGAGATTGTAAAAAGGTGGTCTCTTCTGCCATGTAACAAGTGACAGGGCAAGAGGAAATGCTCTGAAGTTGTGCCAGGGTAGGTTTATACAGGATATTAGAAAAAAAGTCTTTATAGAAAGGATGTTCAAGCATCAGAACACATTGCCCAGGGAAGTGGCTGAGTCACCATCCCTGGAGGTATTTAAAAGACTTGTAACTGTGGCACTTAGGGACATGGTTTAGTGGTGGACTTGGCAGTGCTGGGTTAGTAGTTGGACTTTATGATGTTAAATGTCTTTTCCAACCTAAACAATTCTATGATTTTCTATGGTTTTACACCTCTCTCATATTTTTTCTCATCACCTGTTTCCCCTGTCTCTTTAAAATATTCCTATTAAACACTTCTCTGCTCTTGATCTGATTATTTTCTCTGAAATCTTTCCCATCTTGCTGAAGATACCTCGGATAATCCTCACACGCCCGTCCACTTCTGATGAAGATGCCGACCAGCTGCCCCCAGACCCAGAGGACTTTGAGCCTGAGGAGCCTGACAGCACAGAAGGCCATGCCTATTCAGACTGTCTGAGCAGTGCTTTCTATCCTCCCTAATAAAGTACTTTTCTGGCAGGAGTTCATGGGTGGTTTTCTTTCCCATTGTTTGATGACATTTAATGTAGTACTTGAACCACTATGCCTTATTTATAGTGAAAACCATGAGATGGAGGATGGATTTGTGAGACCCTGCTTGTATTTCTTTGCCTTGAACTTCCTTCAGCAAGAACTTGTGAACCAGGAATGCACTGGGTCAAGTTCTGTGAATGTCACCACATGTTTCAGTAGCCACATGTAAAGGTACCCTGCAGCACCTAAATGTAATGAGAAAAATGCAGGTGATTTTTCTTCAGAAGGTACTTTACTCATTTGGAAACACACTGAAAGCAATTGTATAGTTGGGTGGGATTTTTAAAATCTTGTGTCCGTGATTTGTGTAAACAGCTCATCCTTCTATCTCCTCCCAAGTTCCTTTGATTTGTCCCTTTTAATGTCATTTTCTATGAGAATTAAAAAAAAAAAAAAATCTGTCTTTAAATAGTCCTTTTTTTTACCCACTGAGAAATGTTATCTGTGTTGGAATTCTGTATCTCATTCTGTTGTAATAAAGAACAGTTTCTCCAGTTATATCAGTAATGTGAATGTATATCAAATTTGAACAGGACCTATAAGTTGTATTTTATTAGATCCAAATGCAGGAGGCACCTTATGCAACCATGTACCTGAGAGTGAAGTGACAAGCAATTTCTTATGCATGAGGAACTGTCTGAAACTTCTTTTTTTCCCCCCACTTGCATATAAGCAGAACACTTAATTTGCCTTACTGCAGTATGCCTGTGTTTCATGTATATGTGTGTGTGAGAGAGGTAAGCACTTAAGAGCAAATTGTCCTGTACAACACTTTTCAATCCTTTAATTCTCTTCACTGCTATTCAGTGCATTGGTTTCTAATGCATTTTAAGCTGTTTAAGAGGAACTGTTTGGGATTGTTCTTTTTTTGGGGGTTCCATGGTGCTGCCTTAACTTAGAGGTAGGGTCTGGCCCTGCTACACTTGATTGCCATGACTTTCTTTTCATGTACATTAAGTGTGCGTTTATGGTTTTTATGATGTTTTTACAGTTTGTTTTCCTGTAAATGTAATATAACACAACCCAGTGACCTGGTAAATGCTCATATTTTATTCACATTCCTGAGAAAGATTTCTCAGGTGATCATTCATAACTTCATTGAATGCTGGTAGCTGGCTTTTACAGAATTAGAAAGTTCCCAGGAGGGTATGGCTGTCACAAAGAGAACAATATCTCCTACTAACAAAAGGGATATTTTATTTTGAAGAGATGGATTTGTGCTAGCATTATGATACCAAGTCAATGGCATCCAGTTAGGTTTTTTATTATCTTGTACATCTGCATTTTAATTGATGATAGCAATAGGAATATAAAGCTAACTTCATTCATTTGCAAAATGAACATTATCTTAGAATCTCCTATGACTGTAATATTAAAGACTGTATGATGTGCATAAGCATAGGCTTAAATGATATTCATAAATGAAATTTTTAAAAAAATATTTGTTTCCCATCTCTTTTCTTCCTCCAAAATATACAGGGTTCTTCCACTATGACTTAATGTTTGATCAGTGCACGTTGTAAAAAATCAACAAATGCTTTGGCCCTCTAGCTAGTAATGCACCATTTACTACTACTTTATTGTGTCTCCCATGACTGCAAAAAAACCCACAAACCTCAGCTGTTATAAATCAGCCTTAGATTGCAGAACAAGTTGTAGTTGAAAGCTAGTAAAAATAAGAGTTCTGTTGAGAACTTGGTATTTTCTTCCTTTTTACTTCTCATGCACATGTGTTTGTTTTAGATTTTCCATTAGATCTTGGAAATCAAAACAGTTGCTAGCAAAAAACATAGTTTTTAACCAAATGCTGTCGCCATTCAGGTAAGTTTTAAACACTGACATTTTTATCTGTCCTTCTTCACTGATTTTCAAGGCAAATTTCATACTGCAGTGTTGAAAATTTTGCTATGAGTATAAACTTACAGTGTTAACGCTCTCTATGGACATGCAGATCTACAAAATATATCAATCAAAGCCTATGCTTATTCAAGCTTTCATAAAAAAAAACAAAACAAAAAAAAAAAAAAAAAAAAAAAAAAACAAAAACAGTGGCAGTTTATTATGTTTTGCTTTTGCTCTGCCAAAGAGGGGCAGAGGTAAAGGTCAGAAGCTGGTGTCCTTATCAGCACTAAGTAAAGTCTCTTGAGGTTTGGCTGTTTGATAAGAATGGGCAGAGACAGAAGGTGGAGAGGCTCAGTGGGAGTTGGTCTTTAATGACAGCTCATATCCTGTGTCCTCATTTCCTGCTGGCCTGGGAGTTGAATAGAAAAAGTTACTGCCTGGCTATGGACTACTTGGTTTCTGTGGGGAATGGGCTTCTCCTCATTCTCAGCTGCCACATAGTTTAAAAGATAGCTATGAAGGTATATAATGATTTATTAGTGTATTTCATTAGCCCAATCTCGGTATTGTTGTATCCATTGTTGTGGAGGAAGGCATGGCAAACAGTACCAATCAATTTGGGAGCAAAGATTTTTCTTTGTGCAAATAATCTATTGATGGGTATTTACAGCCCAGGATAATTTGGTTTGCTGGGATTTAGCAGTAATATTCAGGGACATCATGTATATAGCTGAAACAATGGATATCTGACAGGAGAGAAGTCTGTTGTTCCATTCCTGTCTGTACTCCTGGAGGACAGTAGATGTAGGAGCTGCCAGCACAAGGATAGTCCACTTTAAAACAATTAACTTAAAAGACCCTCAAAGAGAAGAATGCATGTGCAGCTCCCCTGGATTGCCATGTCAGAAAATTCAGAAAAGGACCTGAGCTCTTGGAATCAATTTACTGTAATGTTGAAATAATCTTCCTTGTTTTCATCCTCAAACATAAGCAAACTTCTCTCATTGGAGAATATTTGTCAAGGAGCCCTCTGCTCCCTGTCCATGACAGGTAGGACTCTGCTTGCTCACACACAAGGCAGGGACTTGTGGTGCCTGTGCTGTTTTCCTTTTCCACACCTGCTGTCTCCTGCTCTGTGAGTGTTTGCAGAGCCCGCAGGGCGGACCAGGGAGTGACAGCAGCAGCTGTCGGGTGCTGTGGCAGGAATGTGGACCCAGCTCTCCTAAGGATCAGCTTCCCACCCTTGGCTCCTGGCTGCCTGGAAGGTAAGCCTGCTTCATATGCTCTGTAGCTCTGTCATGCTCTTGGTTTCTGCAGAGATCCTGCCATGGAATGCCAGCTCAAAATGCTGCTGGGGTTCTGTGATTCCAGGCGTGTGCATGTGACCTGGGGTAGCACAGGGAATGCTTGCTGGCAGGGCAGGATGGGGCTGAGAGAAGGGAGAGCACCAGAAATAATCTGGGAAGCTCAGCTTCTGCTGGACTGGCACTTACAGAGGCACTCTGCTGAGTTTGGTGCTTGTTACTTTCAACTTTTTGATTGAAGTGTGGGACAGAAATGATCTCCGCATTAGAGATTTAAAAATCACTTTGAGAGTAATTTCTGTATTAGTGTCAGGGTTTTTAACGGGTAAATGTGACTTGGTTTTCAACTGAGTATGGTCTCATTGACCGCCTCAGTATTAGTATAACCAGAATCAATACTTCTGTTGAATGTTTATGATGTATCTGATGCTGAGTAAATAAAAGCTACAGGCTTAGGAGAGCAGAAGTGCAGATGTGTGACGTGTGGTGCAGCCACTGGCTGGCAGCCCTGGGCTGCTGCTGAGCCAGGCTGAAAATGAAAATGTGCAAATTTAAAGAATTGCAGGAGCCACAAGAGTGAAAACACAGCTGAGTGTGACACACAAACTTCATGATTGCATCACAAGCATTCACTTGCTTCCTTCTCCAGGAGCAGCAGATCAAATAAGCACAGAAAGCACATCTGTTTAAGTGCCTTATTTACACAATACTGTTATTTGGGATATTCAGCACTTGCATCTTACAAGAAAGCCCACAGCCCTCTCCTGCATCAGCTTCTTCTCTTGGCCTCTTGTTTCTCTTCTCCTGCTCTGAGAAGAGAAACAGGTGTCAAGAGATGAATAACTGTAATAAAAGGAAGCAATTGGAAATAGCACAGTAATTTAGGCAATGTCTAGAACGTGCTTTTTACTTTGCACCTGTTTGCCCTGTTTCCCCTTGTGAAATAAAACAGGAAATACACAGTTACTAACAGTGTCTCAGGAAGTTCTTGGAGTAGAATAACCATTATTTCTCTGTAGGAATAAGAAATGTACTATCATGATTGTATAAAACCATGGTCTTTCCTCAGGTTTGGTGAGGAAATGCCATGCTGAGCAAGGTGTGGTAGATAATAAGGTGATGTCAGCTTTTCTATGCTATCTCCAGGGTCCTTATATAATAGCATTCAGGCTACAGAAGAGCTCTGCATCCACTGTTTCCTGGGCTCCTTGATTTTAGTGTGAGGGCATGAAGTTTGGTGTCATATTCCCTTGCATTCATAGCCTTTTTTTCATGTTCCCATCTCCCATGCAGTTTGCTCCAAGTGCCTTGCAGTTGCACAGGCAGCAGCATGATGCATCCAGAATATGAATTTCCATTCATGAGAAGTGGAGATTCTCAAGTGAATGCTTTGGATGCTGTTACAAGAATGTTAACGGGAAACCTACTTGTGAAATGACATACTCTCACCACTATCTTATGTTAAAATTATTGAGTACAGTTCACCCCATAATCAATTCCTTGTGTCTTTCTGTAGCGATTGTTTTTGATATCAAAGGGTGAGCTGACACATGAAAACAGTATTGGACCATGCAAGTAAAGCCTATAAACATATTTGAATATTAAGTTCTTGGGTAGTTAGGGTGAATGCTAAGTTACATGCAACATAAACAGCAGATAAAAGTCTGCCATTGCTTGCCTGTATACCTCTCGAGTCCTGCATTGCTGGTTTCTTCACCACTGAGAGCCTGCTCTCTTACCAGCATGGATATCTGTTCCCCAGCCCAAGGAGGAAGTGACTCCCCTGGGAGCTGCTGTTTGCAAGCCTGCTGACACCCAGGGTGTCCCAGCTGCCAGAGGGACAGGGCTGGGAGGGCACTGAGCCACGCAGCCGGATGTGCCCACCTGAGCTGCTCCTGTCCTTCTCTGTCAATTAAAACCATTGCAAATGGACTTCATTGCAAATGAAGATTCAGAGGGCTGGAGGGGCTTCAGGTTCTTCACCTGCACTGCAGGAATGGTCAGTAATGTAAGCAGCAGCACAGTGCAAGCTGCTGTTTGGAGCCCACTAAAGACCTCCTTTGAGGTCTTTAAGTGGTGCA